GTTGAAGAAAATTCCCATTTTTAAGTTCATTTTTGGAGAACTAAAAGTGGGCCCTTAAAACACCATATTTATACACACATACATAAGCAGATATTCTCTATGTTATACACTATTCACAACTCCAAATTTCTAGCAAGAAGGAAAGATTACCAAAACAATAAACCATATTCTGCACCTAAGGCTTCCAGTCTGTCAGAATCAATTACTCATTTCTCTTCTCTCAGTCTAAAACTCCAAACAAGCTTTTCCACAAATGAGGCTTTCTTTAGCAATTCATCTTCTGCTTTTGGCTATGCTTCTTTCTCAAGCTCAAGGTATGGCAAACTGGCGAGACATGTCCCTGGCTAACATTAGAAGTCCTCTTGTGCCTTTTACATATGTTCTGAAATCATTTGTTCTTTTTTGAAGGGTTTCGCTTGGGAAAAAGATTACTGTCAATTGGTCATCCTAAATTTTCAGTTGGGCATCCTAAAGTACATGTAAGTACCGACCCAATTTTCATTTTCATGAATATTTTGCATTGGGTTCACTTAGTTTCACCATCCAAGTACATGTAAAAATTTTTCCTTTTCCTTTTTGTCCCCCCATATACTGACGCTGTAATATTACTCTTATGCAGGAGGCTGCTCAAATGAAGAAGATTAATGATGGAATGGGAGATGTTGTTTACTGCAAAAAAGAACGCTGTACAGGTACTTTGAAGAGGAAAGTTTCTGGAGTGATGCACAAATCATCTCAATGGCTACCGAACATTCATGAAGATTACTATGGGCCTAGGAAGCACAGACCAACACACCATTAATTTTATCTATCCAGGACTATTTTTTGACCCCCTTTTCTAGTTCTTTGAAGTCTTATAAGAGCTGGGTTCCTGAAGACCTGGACTCAGGGCCATGTAATCCTGCAAAGCATTTTTATCAACATAAGAAGCTATAACTATGATTCCTAGTTTGAAATAAGCTAGATAGATCATTACTTCAAGATTTGTCTAAGGTTTTGACAATTTGTTGTGGACACAAAAGTTCATGAAACAAAAATTTGGATGAGTTCTACGTCTCCTGGCATGATATCAAAAGTCATATATTAATTAATTAAGTGGCCTTTCCACATCTATTTTTGCAGGAAAGAGTAGAAAACATACAACTGTGACCACCTCTACCACCTCAGAGGTTGGTAATATAATGGTTAATTCAATTGCCACAGTTTAGACTAACCTTGATCTTCTTAAATTTGGCCATAAGATGACGTTATGTTCCATCTTCGGAGTAAGAAGAATGAAGGGGACAAAGTTTACCCCAATGCAAAAGCCAAATCAAGTAATGAACCATTTGGAGAGAAGAAAAAGAGATCAATCACTGTTAAATTCATCAGCAGCAATTTCTGGGCACTGGAAGGTCCATTAGCAATATGAAGAGATTATGGACATAGCTGAAATGTACTATTCTCAGCAAGGAGAAAACCTCCAATACCAATACACAATAAATAAACTAACATAAGTCGGACAGTAATGCAGAAATGCTGCAGCTTTTTATGGTTTGCAATTATTTTTGTGGATTATATTTTATTAGCATTGTGATTATATTAAACTATAACTTTTGATGGATGTTTTTTAAGAAAATTTTGTTGTACAGTTTGGAATGCATAGACTTTAAAATGAGAATCATTTGATAGGTATCATTTAATTATTTAAATTATATAGTCTAATGCAATTTAAATTGCATAATAATTTTTAATTTTTTTTTAACCATATACTTTTTGATGATTTAATCATAAGCACTTCTGTCATTTTAATGGAGACACTCAGTAGCTAGGCTACGCGACCTACATATTTGAAGATGACACTTTACCTTGATTAGTCACGTTTAATTAGTTATTGTTCGAGAAAAAGAATAGGAGCAATGAGATATTATCAAGTATCATGTATTATTTTCTATTTCACAGGCTTTATTTTTCAGAGTTTTTAACTAATTATAAACAGGGGAATTTATGTAATACAATCAAGATTGTAAATTAAAAATAATTTACTCTATAAATTTATCAAAATATTTTTAATAAAATAACATGAAAAATAAT